TATATATATATATATATATGCATACATATATACTCGTATTATTTAGAATATATATATATATATATAAATATATATAAATAATAATATAAAAAAATAGGAAAATAAATAAATATATTGATTAAATTTTATTTTAAGTAGTTTTATTCATTATTGAATGTGTCTTTTTTACTTATTTCATGAAAGTATAAAACATAAAAAACATGACAGATAAAACACAAAAGTTGTCACGATGGTACTTTGGTGGACTTTCCTCTGCAGGTGCTGCTTGTGTTACCCATCCTTTAGATTTATTAAAGGTATTTTTATTAAATTTTTAAATTAATAAATAGTATAAAAATTTCTTTTCTTTTTTTCATATTGTGAGTTTTAAATATTTGTTAAGTAAGCAATGATTTTTGTCATTTTTGAAAAATTTTATGAATTTTTAAATTTTATTTTATTAGCATTTTGTTAGCATATACAATAACATTTTATTTATACCCACTATATTTATAGGTTCATTTACAAACGCAACAAGAAGGTAAAATATCTATAGTACGATTAACAACATCTATAATACAAAAACAAGGAATTTTAGCTTTATACAATGGATTAAGTGCGTCTTTGCTTCGTCAACTTACATATTCTACAATGAGATTTGGAGCATATGAAGTACATTTATTTATATTATATACAATAGTTATTTTTAATAATATTAGTATGCTTATAATTTCATTATATATTTGATCTTATATTTGTTATTATTTTACATATTATATTTAATATTTTATTGTAATATAGGTAGGTAAACAAACATTTGAAACATCTGGACAACCATTATTATTTTATCAAAAATTGTTATTAGCTGGATTTTCTGGTGCAGCTGGGGGTGTTTTAGGAACACCAGGAGATGTAATTAATGTGCGCATGCAAAATGATATAAAACTTTCACCACAATTAAGACGAAAGTAAATATATAACTTTATATTTTAATTTACTTTTATTTAATAGTAAATTTTATTTTAGTTATAAGCATGCTCTAGATGGAGTAATACGTGTAATTCAAGAAGAAGGAATACGTCAATTATTTAGTGGATGCTCCACAGCAACATTACGAGCTACATTAATGACTATTGGACAATTGAGCTTTTATGATCAAATTAAAATTATATTATTAGAAAGTGGTTATTTCAAAGATAATCCAATTACTCATATAATATCAAGCATATTTGCAGTAAGTAAATATTACTTATATATAATTATACTAATATTAAAGAAAATTATTTCAAAATTTAAGTACAGTATTATAATAAAGCAGCAAGGAAAGCTATAAAAAAGACAGTATATAAGAACATTATCATTATTATGCGCCACTTTTCTTTAGCTTATTTTCAATTTTTCTCATTGTTTCATTATAAACATTTGCCGTGATTATTTCATCATTTTTCTTCAATCTTCATTGCTTTAATATTTAAATATTTAAAAAATTATAAAAACAAAAGAATACTACTATATCTAGAAACAACAATATTTTGAATTTTTTAAAATAAATTTTCATATATACAATTTTTGCACAATTTTATTATTTTTAAATTTTATACTAAATTTTTTTTTTAAAAATATATCTATCATTCAAATGAACATTTTTTCAAATAATTTATTTTATATTTTTTTAATTATAATATTTTAATTATAATATATATATTTTAAATATTCTTAAATAAGGGTGCTGTAG